TTAGCTGTTACGATTTAATAATAGAAAAGATAATCCATGCTACAACACACATGGATTTAACCCATCTTAATTTGGAGGGAAAATAACAACCCTAAATATATCAAATGCAAGTTTTTCAACACAACCTGCAAGTGCGTTTATCTCCAGTTTCCAGCGCAAGCAAGTTATTTAGTTTCTGCCACTGGCCAAGCTAATATTCTTTTTTTTTTTTTCTTTCCCCATTTACTTTATTTTTTAAAGTCTGAAACGAACATCCCCAGAGCAGTATGTAAGTCCTTCAGCTGACGAAAAGCCCTCCTTCCCCCAGCGTGTCCTGTCCAGCAGCGGGTCCCCAGCAAATACGCGGTCTGCGCTCTGCCTGCTCTGCAGAGTGCCCGCCGCCCCGGGGCGCCCCTGGACCTTCAGGGTTCCAATGAGGACGTACAGGTGGGCGGGGCCACCACAGCTGGGAACTGCCTGCCACCTCCAGCCCCGGGGGACCTGCCACCTCCTGTCACCCGCTGCCTGTCTCCTGCGTTTCTCCAGAAACCTGACATTTGGGGTTTAGGGGGAGGAGGGAAAAAAAGGCAAACAACAAACTTCTGAGTGACAGCTGATGGCTCATTCCTCCCGTTATGGCTTCATTTGGTGATGGAAGAGATGGTAACACGCGAGAAGCCAAGAACGAGCTACCTGTGATCAAGAGCCTCCCCCGCAGTGGCTAGAAAATGGGGGTTCTAAGGAGGAATCGGGAGAGAAAGGCTGAGCGAGAGATCCCAGGTAAACTGCCATGATTTGCACCGAGGAAAGCAAGCGCCTCGTGTGACTGAGCGGGGTCCAGGCTCCCGAGTTTAGCTTTTTAGAAGCTGCCGCTCTTCCAGCGTCTACCTCCAGCCGGACCCTGTGCTTCCACCTGGCGTAACATGGGGGAGGGGGTGCAAACAGGGAAACTGAGGCCCAGAAAAGCAACCTGACTTGCCTGGGTTGGCACTGGAGTTCCACCCCGGCCGGCCAACGCCCAGGCCCTCGCTCCTTGACCCCTGGAATCCCTCCCCAGGGCGATACTCCATGAGAGCTTCACTATAGGACAGTAATGGGACCAAAGACGCGGGCTGACAGGGTGGGGACATGGTCCAGGGAGACCCGCCCTGACCCCAGGAAATGACGGAGCTAGGGGAAGGGGAGGGCGCTCACATCTGTAGCACACGTCCCTTGACGTCACAGTGACTGTTAGGTACGTCCCCAGATGTGGAAGCTGCGGCTCGGCAGGTCGATCGCGCCGCCCAATGCTGGAAGGCGGCAGGGTGGCACAGCCCTGCGCTGGGTCCTTCCCTGTGCAGCGAGACACGGCCTCCGCGGTGCAGGCCGCGAACCCCACACGCCCCTCAGCCCCCGTCTCCTCGCCCCTCCTCGAAACGCCCATCCCAGGGAGCGGCTCAAAGACCCCTGCTCAGTGCAAAGCCCCCTGGGGTCCCCTCCCAGGGCCTGCCGTCTCCCCTTGACAGACAGACGCCAACGGCCATCAGAAAACTCACAGAGGCAGGGAGAGGCTGTAGGAAGGGATCTTAAGAAACAGAGAGAATCCTACATCGACGGACACGCCCCAGAATCAGATGCCAGCACCCCGCTCGGACCTCCAGGCCAAGACCCCCACCTTGACCACCTCCAGCCGGCTGTCCCCCGATGGGACAGAGGCTCCGTGGCACCTCCTCGTCCACAGCGGACGTTCAGGGGGCAGGGTCTGGGCCCGTCGCTACACCCATCAAGGGCAGGGACACCACCCGCCCACACAGTGGCCGAGTTCCTCACGAGGGACAGAACAGCAGCTCCGGGGGCGATCCTCCCGCACACATGCGCCCGGCCCCCGGGGCCCCACCACCCCGCGAGGGCCAGGTCGGCGTGCCCGGGGCGGAGGAAGGGCAGCAGGTGGACCCTTGCTGAGTGAGTGAGTGAGTGAATGCCCTTCAGGAGACAAAGCTTCAGAAACGCCTTCCTCCCATTCTCCTATTCTCTATCATTGTTTTTTTTTAAAGGAACAGTAACTACCCCCTTCCTTCCCATCTCCAGAATTACTGTCCCAAGAAAAGGGTCGATCCGGGGTCCAACCCTGGCTGACAGAATCCTGGGGACCCCCATAAAGGTGGAAGAGACCCCAACTCTTTACAGGCCAGCGCTGCCCAGCCATTACTGGAGCTCGGCTTCCAGAAGCACCTGGCAGGGAGGGGGACATGTAAGACGGCCCTCCCGGCCACCGTGGGCGCCTCACTTCGGACGGCCAAGCCAGAGGCCAAGGCCCAAGAATTAACAGCCCTTGGCCCTGGGGGCAGCAGGGCCCGGAAGGGCCGGAGCATCCCCGCCGGCCACGGCCGGGAAGCAGGCCTGGGAGAGGCCGGGCGCAGCCCGCAGAGCCCGCAGCCACGTGGGGTTCCAGAACCGGGGCGGAGAAGCGCCTGGGATTCCTCGTCCCTCTCTTAAAATATAAAGACTCAATTATCTTTGAGCAGCTTGCTTTACACATGAATTGACACATTTATTTTACAATAAATAACTGAAAGTTATCTGTGTTTCCTTTACTGTTAATCTACACAGAGAAATAATAAACAGGGCTTGTCTACAAAAATGCAACCACTGCAGTCCTCAGAATTCAATTAAGCTAAAATAATTAATGCTCCCACCCTATTAAATTACTTTATACATTGGAGCCCCTGAAGTTTTATTCTTTAATCTTTCCTTTTTATTAAATAAAAAAAAAAAAGTTGGTGCCAAAGGAAGTAGAGAAAAGGGAAAACGGAGGGAACCAGAGAGAGGGAAGGGCACGGCGGGCCATCGAACGGGACAGTCGTCTTCAGCTGACATGGCACGGGGTCTGTTTTGTGCCTTTGATTGAAACAGCATTGCAAATGCTTTGAACAAACACATCTCTTTCGACTTCAAGGGATTATTTTACATATTTCTTCCAGAATGAAGAAATCCATTCATCCGGTTGCTGAATAGAAAAGGCCAAGAATACCCTTCGTCACACATGAAATAAAAATGCTGGGGCTCCTGCAACCCCAACGAGGGGGCGGGGGAACGAAGCGCCTCGGAGGCTACCTCGGCCTTTTGCGAGGCCATGTTCCTCGCTTTCTTCGACAAACCTGCCCCTGGGGATCGGCGGCCTCTCGAGGGAGCTACCTGCCCCGGGGGACGGGGACTCAGGTGGGCTTCTGGGAACGGCAGAAAGCCTTCCCACGGAGACAGGGACCGGAGCCCGCGTCTCACGGTCAGAGCCACCCCTGAGGGGTCCCCGGCGTTCCCGCTGCTGGTACAAACAATCCTCGAGCGCCTGATGAAGGAAGCAGAGGGCAGGGACCCCAGCCACACAGCACCTGTCCCGCCAACAGCTCCAGCCTTTACGGACGAAGTGCCACGCAGGTCTGCGCAGAGCCCAGAGCAGCGTGTGCATGGCTGTGGCCCAGGACGTCGTCCCCCATGCGCTGGTACCTTAGGAGTCCGCGAGCACTCGTGCCGGGACACACCCGAAGGCGATGCCCGCAGGCCAGTGTCCCCAGCACCTACCCCCATGGTGTCTCCTCAGGAGAGGCTCTCATCGGTCCCGTTGTACAGATGGGCAAAGTGAGGCCCACAACCACAGAGCTGCCACGTGGCGGCGACCGAGAAGCCAGGCTGGTTGTCTCACCCTACCCACTGCCCTCCGGGGCTGGGGGCCTCTGCACACGCCCAACCGTCTCACCCGTGGACATGGGGGACCCGCCTCACCAGGTTCACCCTCCAAGGAGCACCAGCACCTCACTCCCTCCAGCATCCCCGCTGGCTCCCGCGTCCAAAGCACGGCGGAGACAGACCCGCACGCCTGCCCAGCGGGCCACCTACACCTCTCTGCACACAGCAGCACAGCGGGGACCTCCCGCAAGAAAAGTTCCACTGGCAAAGCATTCGGGAAGCCACTGCCCCTGCGAGCCTCAGGCAAGCTTGCCAGTGTTACCACACCCTGCGGCAGATGGGGAAACCGAGGCAGGGGCCCAGGAGCGACGTGTCCAAAATCAGCCACCAGGATTCGAACCCTCTCTGCACACGCTCTGATGCTGTCTTGCTGTAGGACAGGCTGCCGCTCTTGGGGACACAGGCTGGCAGCACCCTCCTTTGACCCCCAGGTCTCCCGGGCTCGGGAGCGTGGACCAGAAGCGAGCACTCTGGGGTGCACAGAGCCTGGGCTCCGCGGCAGGGGGTCTGGCCGGCCTGGCCGGGGCCTGGAGAGACGGACCCAATGCCAGCCCACTGTGGTGGGCAGACTGGCCGGAGGACGCAAGCCCCACCCCTACTCTTCAGGCGGCAGGAACCAGAGGTCCCAGTGGCCGGCCGAGGGGGCACGCCAAAGGGAGACGTCCAACCTCCCTAAGGGGCATGGTGTCCACTAGGTGCCCACAGCCCATCCCCAGATTTACCCATAGGGGCAAGAAAGCGTCAGAAGGACATTTCTTTGCACAGATGGGAAACTGAGGGAGGAGAGGAGGAAAACGAGTGCCACTCCTAAGTGCCTTCCAGGGACCACCCACGTGCAGTCCCACAAACTCGCAACAACCCTCATGAAAGGGGGTTCACCAGCTCCTTCTCCCAGGCGGCGAAACTGACTAGGCCACGGTGCAAAGAACAGATTCCAACCCAAGGCTATCTGGTTCCAAAGCCAGAGACGAGGCCACAGACCCCGGCAGGCTGAGGGCCGACTACACCTCCAAATTCCCATTCTGACTTCCGGCCACTGTGCCGCGTCCCACAGCCAAAAGCGAAGCAATCGGCAGCCAGTCAGGCCGCCCTGAACGCCCGGCCCGTCTCCTCCTGCAGGTCCCCGTCGGAAAGGGCGAGCCCAGTGGCGGCCAGAGGCCATCCTCGTAGCTCCCGGGCCATCCCCACACCGACACCCTCGGCCAGAGGACGGTCCCCCGACACAGCGAGGGGTGAGGGTGGGCCTGGGGCGCGGGCGGTGGCGTCTGCAGCGGCCAGGCGAGTGCCACGTTCCATACCTGCAATGTTCTCCTGCTTGGGGCAAATGCCTTTCGTGGGCGAGAGCAGGTGGTCATCTTCGTCGGGGGTGACCTGGATCCCGATCTCCACCGGCTCGGACACTTTCCTGAGCTCGGAGCGTGAGGAGGGCGGCGGGCTGCCCTTGTCCAGGCCTTTGTCATAGCAGGCACCCAGGCTGCCACCACACTGCTTCTTCTTGTGCTCTATAAAAACCAGGATGTCCCCTAGAGGGAAGTTCATCTGACACTGTCCACAGGTGAGCAGGTCAGGGTCGGGGCCACCCACCAACAGCCCCAGGCCGCTGGGCTCCTCTATCTCCAGACCCTCGTCTTCTTCAAGGATGGCCGCTTCCACATGGTCAGCCTCTGCTGCAGAGAGAAAGGGGAGGGGGCAGAGAAGACAGAGGTGGGCTTAGGCGGTCACAAGCACCCATCGTGCGTTCCAACCCTTCCCCACCTAGGGCAGGCCCCTCCGCCGCGGGTTCCGGGGTGCGCGGAGTGCCCCCCAGCACTCCTGGACGCACGGCGGCACCATCCTGCGGGCCAGCGACGGTCACGCACAGTTAGGCTCCGGGAGCAACACCACGGCCCCCGGAAGCTGGGGCTTCAGCGGCACTGACCTTACTGCTTTCTAGTTTGCTCTCTCCCAATTCCCCCCCTCTCCACCCCACCCGCCAGCACAGGAACACACACGGGAGTGCACAGGCACAGCGCACACGCTGGTTTCGCAAGCAACTTGGCCATCCCAGCCATGGTATCAGCCAGAGACGTGTCTCTCAAACTCTGCGACATCTGAGAATGAGCCGGGGAGCCTGGAAAGCCTTCCACACCTGGGGCCACGACCCCGGGATGGGAGCATGCCAGGTTGTCGCTTCAGCCTCCTGGTGATGCTGCTGGGCAGTCAAGGCTGAGAACCTTGAGCCTGAGATGTGCGGCCCTGCTTCTGGCCGCCCCCCCGCCCCGCCCCTGCCTCCAGTTTCATTCATGGCTTCCCCATTCCTGCCAGGCAGACTTGCGTTCCTCTACCTGAGCCCTGGCTGCACACCAGACAAGAACACAGAAACCCAGGCAGCCGTCAGAGGGCCGGGTCTTCGGAGAGAAAGCAGCCCATGTGCTCGGAAAGCAACAAGTGAGCGTTGGTTCCAAAAGCAACATCGAAAGGAAAAACAATGCAGGGAAGGGACCCTGCAGGTCTGCGGGCTTGGGGGCGGGGAGAGGGGGGGCGGCTGGCTGTCCCATCCAGCCCCCGGCACCCGGTCAGACCCCCGTGTTTGCAGGCTTCCCAGCACTCGTCAACTCTCCCATCTTGCTTTACTCTCCCTCCCTTACAGAGAAAAGGGGAAAAAAATCTTCAGACTCAAAAGCATTTCTTGGCAGAGGACAAACCACAGTTTCAATGGGTTGTGCGTTTTCATATTTCTTTTAGCAGCCGATACACTTCCTTTTTATTGTCAGGGGCATAGGACCCAAGTATTTTGAAGCTAATAAATGCCTCTAAAAGAAGCAAGCCCCTCGGGGAAAACTGGAAGACTGGGCAGCAGATAAAGTGTCATAAATCAGGGAAGTGGACGAGGAGGTTGCATCTCCCCTCCGGGTACGAGCAAATTCCGGGAGGAGTTTTTGGAGAGCAAATGTCAGTGGTCGGGCAGACGGCACGCGCATCAGGGTCTTTGGGGGTCGGAGACCCGAGGAGGCAGGTACGTTTTAAGTTGTGTGATGTTTAGGAAAGGATGGCGGAAACCACAGAAGAACAGGCAAGGGAAGAGAGAAAAACACATTCCGTGGCAGTGAAGTTATTGGCGGGCCAGAGCCAAAGAACAGATAATTTAAGGAAAAAATTCCGTGGCATCTTTCATCCTACACATAAATCACTGCTCTGTATTTTCTGGACACAGGCTTCCGCAGGGCCTGTGAGCCCGTGCACAGGACTGGTCCTAGAGCAGTCAGCACACGCCACGGCACTCGTGCGAACGGGGAGTGCACGGGTCCACAAGCAGGGGCTGCTGAGAAGCGAGATGAACATTGGAGAGCCTGCCTCGGGTTCTAGAAAAGCAAGCAGAGCCTTCAATGAATTAAACGTAGACACGCATTCGCAACGTGGTTGTACAAAAATACAAAAATACCCCGCCGATGAGGAAATCCTAAATCTGCGGTCTGCTTCCCTCCAACAAAAAGAACCTGGAAGGTACGAGAAACGGTCTTCACAAAGCTGGCCCCAGGAACCATTAATTACACTTTAAGAAGAAATCAGAGTTTACTTAAAAAGGACTTGGAAGACAATGCTACGTAATTAATTTACCAATTTATTTTATGAAAAGATGCTTTGCTATGGTTAAAATGCAATCACAACCCTCCCACCGCACGGCGGTTCTGGGGGGGCCGGGGTTCCTGTGAACCGTTTGTCAGGTGGAAAAGGTAATTATTCGGAGCCTCTGTTCCCTTTAATGATCTAACATTGAGCAATACTGTTTATATTGAAAAGCTCACACCTTTAATTACCAATTACATATACATAATTTCAGAGCCAAAGGAGAGGGCTGTGAAAACAGTTCTTTAGAAATATAAGGACGTATTGTGCGTCATTTCTAGAGAGGGAACTCTAATAAATGGGAGGAGGGTGTCAAAATATTGTTTTGTTAAAAAAAAAAAAAAGAGAGAGAGGCACAAAGGAAATGCTCTGAAAAGCGAAAAAGAAAAAGAAAGAAAGAACCGGGGGAGCTGGGCGGTGGGAAGGGTGGACAAGACCCTGCTAAGAGCCGGGCCCGCCGGCCACGCCGCCCAAGGCCACGGGATAAGGGTAAACAAGGCGGCAGTGGACCCAGGACCCATCACCCCCATTCCTGGCCCCACCTCCCTCTCTGCAGGAGGGAGGGCGAGGAGGTGTCTTCTGGTGTTTAATTTCACCTTTGGCTTCCTTGGCTTGCTGTGTGTCGCTTTGCTTTCCATGAACTTTCCCAGCCTCGCCCCTGGCTCCCCTGCGCAGTTCTAGAAGCGTGAACGAGCTCCTCTCTGCTGGGGGGTTTAAAGCTACATAATTTCAAATGCATTTTGTAATTCCAAAGAAGCACAGACTAAGGTAAAAACTAGCAAGGGTCGCAAGCGGCCGTTTGCAAGCACGCCCCCGCCCCCCCACCTCCCGCCTTGCATCTTTTGCTAACGACTCTGCACAGCTAGCTGTCTTCCTTGTCCTCTTTTTTTTTTTTTTCTCTTTTGTAACATCTGGTCAGCTGTCCTTGATTGGGCAGCCTCTGCCTCTTCCCTTCCCCGCCTGGCCAGCCCTGGAAGCCCCAGGAGCCGAGTTTGAAAGTATCCCATGCCATTCACTGTGCCACCCGCAGGCCAGGTTCCGCCTCCAGTCCCCTCACAGCCAACCCACCTGGGCAGCCAGGCCCGCCGGTGTGCCCAGGCAGCTCTGAACTGGGGCTTCCACCTCCTGACCCAGGATCCAAGCTCCCTGCCTCCCACGGAGACCAGGAGGCAAGGAAACACCGGCCAGAAACTCTGCCCCCCCCCCCCCACATCCAGAGCGGAAAGCAAAACTCCAGAGGAAGAAGGCATTCGCCAGCTCCAAGACCGGGGCTCCCTCTCCCCCTGCCCCCCGGGGTGCAGGCCTGCCGCAGGAGGCCCTTCCCAGGGCCGTGGCCACGGCACCTCCAACGTTCAGGCAGCAGAGGCGCCCTGAGCTCCCAAACTGTCAAACGCCTGGGTCAGAGCAGGGCACCAAGGCGGCTTGCTGAGGCTTCAAAGCTCACACCCAAAGCCCTGGGAGACACCCCCAAAGTCAGGCTGTGGTTTCATTTCCGCTGGCAGGCGGATACCAGGCTGGGTGTGTGGAGAGCGTGTGCACGCGCGTGTCCCTGCTGAGAACTGTATCGCTGGTGGGAGAAATAAAAGGAGAAAGAGCCACTTGGCTGAGCTCAGAGAAGGGCACGGTGAGGCCATGCCTCGCCCCCTTAGAGGCCCCCCCCCGCCCCGTGGGCACCAAGCCGCACAGCCCCGCACAGCCTCCGAGAAGCAGCCCCTGCGTGCCAGGCAGAGCAGTCCCAACTGCCACCCACAGACAAGCAAGCACCAGGAAGGGGACAAGATGCGTGCCAACAGCCTCGGCCTTTCGGATTCCCAGGTTCTGCACACCAGGCCCCCTGCCGTGTCCGGCAAACCTGGGCCACACAAAACGAAGGCACGAGCGAGGTTTTCCCGGGCAGGACATGCACTGTCGTGGAAAGCACCCCACGCCAGGCGGCCCCAGAGAACCCTGCCGTTCCCACCGCAGCAGGCTGAGTAAGGTAGAGGGAAGGCTGCAGTGTGTGACTCCTTAACAGGAAGCAGCAAGGGATGTGCAGGCCTCTGGTCCCCAAGTCACAGATCAGGCGGGGGTGGGTCCTACAATGTTAAATCCTAAAGTACACGGACAAATCTATATTTACACACATTCATTTGCTTTTTACAACAAAACCACATTTTATGTAGGATGCTGGGCCTCCTCCCAGCTGGTGAATGCATTTAGAAGCAATGAAGTCAGGATTCACAAATAATAATGGACTTCGTTGTTAAGTGCATGCGGAAGCCCTCCTTCCTAAGACAAACTCGCCCATGCCGCGGCGCGGCCGCAAAGGAATTCGGGCGGAAGACAGAAATGGAAAGACATGGCTACCACGGGCCCAGCCAGGCAGCTGCACAGGCTTAGCCGGGCCTTACCTGGCCAGTGACCCCAGCAGGCAGGGCCCCCGGCCCCGCCCACCCCGGTCCATCTCTAGCAACTGCCCCTGCACCTGCCCCTCGGGGAATTCCAGCCGAGGGGCCCGGCCTGCTGTCCCCGGAGCCCCGCTGCACACACAGCACACAGCCCGTGTCCCCTCATCCTGCCGTGATTCAAACCCCAATCTCCGCCTTCCACGGCTAAGCCACAGTCCGGGAGAAACACACACAGGATTGTTGTTTCAGGGATTGGGGGGGGGGGGGGAGGAGGAAAGGAGGTGGGGGAGGGGTGCCAGGACCTTAAAATCGTATGCCACCAACGTCACAGACACCATCGTGATGTGTACGTGTGTTTACAAGAACTGGCTGCGTCCCTCCGCCCAGCCCTGCACCCGACGGGAGACCTGACACCTGCTTCCTGCGAAGACGAGTCTGCGCCTTGCTCACCGGTATCTGCGGAGGGATCGCCTCATTCCCTCCGCGAGAACGCTCGGGGAGGGGCCGGGCCGCCGCCGACACACGCACTCGGCAGAGCACAACACTTGCTAAGCTGCCATCAATTTTTAATTTATTGGATCCAAGAGAAAATAACAACCGTGGGGAGAGGGGGATGGGAGAGAGAAGGAATCAATTCTTGGTGGAGAAAATAATCTATGACTAGATGACGCCGT